AGTATTTTTCAAAGATTATCATAGCTAAGAAGACTAGCTGCAGTACAGAGCCTAGCTCTTCTAATCCTCCAGTTTGAATCTGGTTTAGGTCAACAGTGTCTGATGTTGCATCTGTTGGTTGCTGAGTGAACATATGGTTTCAGTTCCCTTCCCTGAATACTGCTCTCAAAATAGCAGAAAAAACAAACAAAAAACCAACAAACAGTGGCACTGACGTTGAAGGTCTGAGCAGAGAGACTACGGATGCAGACCCTGATTCTGCAAAGAGTTCCACATGGGCACACTCCTGTGTTTGCTCAGAATCCCATTCCTTTTCCTGGTATTTATTACCATAGTTCTATTGATTTCCATGCAGCTATCTATGTCAGTTTATATCGCTTGAGGATTTTACACAGTGAGGCAACATAGGCATAAGGGTGCACCCAGATGGATCAATTTCCTTATAATCATGGAGAATGACTTGCCCTCTCATGCCTAGCAACAGAACACTAGTGGAGTGACATAGGGAACTTGCATTGTCAGAGAGTTTTCCCTTTCCAGTGTCAGTCTAGCACCTTTCACACACACACATTTAAAAAAAATACCAAAACTGTTTTGACACTGAGTTATTTGAACTTCCTAGTGTAATTTATAATCCATTTCCAGCTGGCTGAGATCCAATTTAGTCCAATCTAATCCGTTATACATTTCTGAGTTAGTAGCACTTTTGTGACCCCCTCAGTTACTCCAGCTAAGGAGGCAGGATGTTATTAAAGAATAGTGATAATGAAACCTACACTTGCCCACATCACCGGCAAGCCGCACACTCCCATTTCAGGAAACTTTTCGTGTTATGTTTTCTCTTCAACTACATACACAGTGCTGCCTAAAATATAAAATCTCCTACTTCTAGTGCTGACTGATCTGTTCATTCTGGAAATGCATAATTATAGGAGAGTTTATGCGCACACAATTTTAGTGTGGATATCTGAAATCCAAAGACACTAAGTATATTGTTTGTTGCTGATGATACCAGTAAGTGGCCTCTCAAACTTAAAGGGAGGTCCATCAGAATTCTCACACACCTCCCATCTCAAATTAACCCTGAGCCAGGCTTCCCAGACCAATATTGTCTGATATAGCCTGAAAGTTGTAAAAGCATTGCTTTCAGGTCCGTGGTAGTCTCTGGAGTAGACAGGTTTTACTATTTTATAATGCCAGTTGCTTGGATCTTTTTTTTTTTTTCCCCCATAAGCCATGTTGCTATATTTTTGGACCACTTTTATAGCAGTCAGTGAGTTTTTTCAACTGAACCTGACAAACTATAAATAAGACCATCAGATTCATTTCTGGACTGTCAGCTGTAGGAAGTAATGAATATATTGTATTATGATGGAGGCCAGGTTGGCCATTTAGCACTTAAGAGTGTTTTTGCACTCTGGGGAGGATTGTGTTTTGGCTGTAGAAGGTGTGACTGAATGGACATACTATCAACAGCTGCTCCTTTTATTCTGTTTGAGAGGTTATGGCCCTCTCATCTGAGAACTGTAGGTAAAAGTTCAGTTGTAAGAAGATTTTTCATCTAAATTTCCCAGCAGGGTGAACATGTAAACTGAATCCTTGGAAACCAACTGTTTTAAAACTAAACTCTGCACCAGTGAAATTACTCACAGCTAACAGACCAAGTTAAATGACTCCAATTTTATGGAAACACACCACAGAATTTTTTTGACCATAGAAACTGATTCAAGAAAACCCCAGTGTTCAATTGGTCTGATAATGGGCATTCCCTGGAAAAAAAAAATCTAGCCTGACTTCAAGTAGAATAGTAATAGGAAAATCCAACGTCAGCTTTTCATCTAAAAACACAAGGACATCTAAAACATAGTCACATAAGCAGATATTAAAGCTCTTCTGGGAAAGAACAGTAAAATATAAAACCTTTTGTTAGTATGTACTATTTAAGAATATTTTTACATATCAGCAATGACAGTGCCATGTTTATACAGGCAGTCCCCGGGTTACATGGATCCGACTTACATCGGATCCCTACTTACAAACGGGGTGAGGCAACCCCGCACTAGCTGCTTCCCCCCAGCAGACCAGGGAGATGCAGAGCGGCTTTTCTCAGCAGACACCTCAGCTTGAGAATAAAGGACTGAGGGAAGTGAGGTGTGGGAGAATAAAACTGAGTTCTGGAGAAATGTTTGGCTAGAGTTTCCCCTACAATATGTACCAGTTCCGACTTACCGTATTTTCCGGCGTATAGGGCGACTGGGCGTATAAGACGACCCCCTATCTTTTTAATTAAAAGATAGGGTTTCATCTTATACCCCAGCGCCCTTCCGCCTCCTTTGCTCCCGGTGTCCCTGGTCTGCTGGAGATGGTCCCCAGCAGACCAGAGGCACCGGGAGCAAAGCCGCCAGGAGCGCCTGGGCTCCCCCCCGCCGGAGCCCCTCCGCGGCTTTGAAAGCCTCGGGGGAAGCCGGCGGCGGGGCATCCGGCGTACAAGACGACCTCTGAAGTTAAAAAACATCCCCCAAAAATCGGGGGTCGTCTTGTACGCCGGATGCCCCGCCGCCGGCTTCCCCCGAGGCTTTCAAAGCCGCGGAGGGGCTCCGGCGGCGGGGCATCCGGCGTACAAGACGACCTCTGAAGTTAAAAAACATCCCCCAAAAATCGGGGGTCGTCTTGTACGCCGGATGCCCCGCCGCCGGCTTCCCCCGAGGCTTTCAAAGCCGCGGAGGGGCTCCGGCGGCGGGGCATCCGGCGTACAAGACGACCTCTGAAGTTAAAAAACATCCCCCAAAAATCGGGGGTCGTCTTGTACGCCGGATGCCCCGCCGCCGGCTTCCCCCGAGGCTTTCAAAGCCGCGGAGGGGCTCCGGCGGCGGGGCATCCGGCGTACAAGACGACCTCTGAAGTTAAAAAACATCCCCCAAAAATCGGGGGTCGTCTTGTACGCCGGAATATACGGTACATACAAATTCAACTTAAGAACAAACCTACAGTCCCTATCTTGTACGGGGACTGCCTGTAGTTAATATTGCAGCAATCCAATAAACAATTGTAGATGCGTTTTTCACTAGCATAGGAATGCTAAGTCTACCCATTTGAGCTGATTTTTTTAAGTGCTGTCCTTTTCACTTCACACAAGGGTTTTTCCTTTTCCACCCTCTTGCACTTCACAAGTGAATTTATTTCTGGTGAAAGTGTAACCCACACACGTAGGCTATGTCTACACTGCAGAGCTTTTTCAGAACAGTTTCTGAAAAAGCAGACGCGTTCTTTCAGCATCTCTATGTTCCTCATTGTATGAGGAATAAGGGATGTTCTGAAAAAGGAGGTTTTTTTCTGACATTTGGCCCAGTGTAGATGGGCCAAGTTTTGGAAAAGCCTCTTTCGGGGAAAAACGATAGGCAAATTGTGGTTCGCAATTTGCTTATCTTTTTCCGAAAAAAACCTGTAGTGTAGAAATAGCCCTAGTGTGGTTCACTGTTCCATGTAGTGGCACTTGGACCACTTACAGCAAGAGATAAGAATAAGGGAGTTCTACAGCAGAAGCTAGGAGGTAGCTGGCTTTATAGCTCAAGCTGTAGTGACTCCTACATCAAACTCTAGAGCTCTCAGGATCAAATCTGCCCCCTGGTAGTTACAAAAGGTCTTGGATTAATATTGTGGGAGCCTGAAATAATCTAGATGAAAATTTTCAAAAATAGCTTATAATTTTTGGGTGCCTCAGTAGCTGAGTGCCCAACTTTCGAGAGACCATGGTTTTCATTTTCAGAAGAGCTGAGCAGCTGCAACTTTAGTTGAAGTCAGGGGAAGCATGGGAGCTTAGCACTTCTGACAAATCAGGTCCCTGACATGTCTCAGACTAACGATACCCCAAAACTGAGGCACCTAAAATCAGAAACAAGTTTTGAAAACATTGACCTTGGTTTTTTCACTGAACAGCTATGGCTCCAGCTGCTGGTAGCAGAGCAAACTTCCCCCTTCCTCCTCCTCACATTGCCCTGCCAATGCCAATCTGCACCTGGAGGTTTTACCTGCTAAGGTGAAAGGGGAGAGTCATCCATACATTGGTTCAGTTTATGGCCTCTCTGTTAGGAAGCTCAACAAGAATGCAAACTGGAGTGAAATGTGCTTTTTGTGATGTTTACATCTGCCATTAAAAATTAGATGGAGATTACAATTCATTTTGTACATCATTCTAAGGTAATGACTTTTTGCCACAACCAACAAGGACCAAATGTAAACCTAGAGACCAACAGGTGATGGATTCTGTATCACACTCTCATGAATTACCCAGTTCCCTGTGCATGGCCTTTTCTCGACTTTCAAAGGACCACAATTTTTTTTCTTGTGAGAATATGCACAATCCTTTTACCAGCAAAATGAGGACCTCTTCTTACACATGTTCACTAAATCTCAACTATAGATATAACTTTCTCATTCTGGAATCAGAGAACTGGAAGGGACCTTGAAAGGACATCAAGTCTACTCCCCTGCACTCCTGGCAGTACCAAGCATCATCCAGGCCATCCCTAACAGGTGTTTGTCTAACCTGCTCTTAAAAAAATCTCCATATGCTCTAGTTCTTTTATTTAATGAAAACCCACATTCCACTTACAAGTCACTCTTCATCATTATTGACTGGGGCTCTTCAGGTATTATAACAGCACATGGAAGTTTTTTGAGACTTCACATGGAAAATGTAAATATCTCCTTAAAAAATCTCTTATGCTTCCTAATTTATAGTTCAAAGCATAACTAACCCCAACTAGAACAAAAGAGTGTTTGTATCCACTACCGCTATTGTGCTAACACAAAGAATTGGCATGACTTTATGAATAGTTTGTAAACTCTGTGCAACCTTAACATGATTTGGATTAATTTAATGTAAATAAAATTGCTCCAGTCAGTCTGACAAGACCCAGCGTATAGAAAGATGCCCCAATCAGCACAATTAACTGCTCATTTGCAGAAGGAAGCAAATCCTTTGATCTCTCACTACTTACTTTTAAGTGAATAGGAAAAGGATGTTCCTGAAAGAGAGGCAGCAGGAGAGTCTGTTCCACACTGACAAGCTGGGATGTTGAATCTACCATTCGGGACAGCATGCTGTGCACAGCAATCTGTGTAAGTGTTTGGGGCCTGGCTGGGACCAGCTGTTTTGAATCTTTTGGTCCAGGCTCATCTGGTCTAGAAAGAGCCAGTGATCCACATGCTTCTTCTTTCTCAGAGCTTTTGTTTAATGGTTTTCTGCCTTCCTCTTGCTCCTTCTGAATCCAGCTAGACCTGGCAGCTTCCAGACCCTGTCCCATGCCATGCAGAGACAGGGCAGACACACTTATGTTTTGCGGTTGAGGCGCCTGATCCAATTTGTAGTGGGGATGGCAAACTCTAGCCTCCTCATCTTGCTTGTGCAAGAGCTGCAGGGTTTGGAGAGCAATCACCTGGTGGTTGAGAGACAGAATTAAAGGTACTGATCTAGCCATCAGCTCTCTTGCTTCTTCTCTGTCCACAGACCAGAGTGGAGTGTTTTTTAAGCCTTGTTTGGCCTTTTCCCTCTCCCTCCTGCCCACCCTTTTGTTTCTTATCTCTTCTCCCTGTGGGTGGCCGACTGCCCCTCCCCTTCAACCTGGGGTTAATAGCTTTGGTTCATTTTAACACTTGTTTAAAGATCAGCCTTTCACTGTATTTCTTGGACCCAAGTTCCATTAAGCTTCTCGTGTATGTTTTCAAACCGAGGTTTTCTTTGGTTTCTGAAGAGCTACTTGCATATGCACTGTGTTTTGTGTGAATGCTTAATGTAACATGTTTCTTGTAAGGCATTGGCACTAGTTGGTATAAATGGACTCCGCTGGGATGAGATTACCTACTCAACCTCATTTGGGCGGGAAGGTGAGGGAAGGAAGGGAGACTTGTTTTGCTCTCATGTGTAAGCAGTTTTGAAAGTCTTGCTTGCGCGCGCGCGCTCTCTCTCTCTCTCTCTCATTGGCAATGAATGATTTTACAATGTGTTTCAGTGAGTAATTTTAAAATTAGAGTCGGGCCAGAAGCAAAACTTTACATCCAGACACCTCCAATCTCTGGGAATGTTAAGAGCTCTGGCTGAACTCTGTGTATCATCAGACTTACAGTAGTTTAATTGTTTTTTTCATTCACATTGCCTCTGACAGACAACTGAAGCAAATAAACAGTGTAAACAACTTCTGGATTGGCACTGGTTTCCTGAGAAAATGGAGTGCTTGCCTCAAGGAAAATGGACACTTGTGAGATGGATAATCAATTGTTTATATATAAAAGCTGAAATTGTTGTTGGTAAAGTTAAAATTTTTATTTCTCTGCTTTTATTAGTGCTTTATTATGAATTCAAGGTGCACCAAATAATTTAAACCTGTAAGCTTGCCAGTGCTCTGTTTAGAGCCAGTTAAAATCTCTATTCACGCAGGAAAATAGTTGGAAATAGGAAGGGTGAAAGAGCCCCACCTGAAATAACTTTAAAAAAAAGGCATTTCTGGCTTTGGAAAATGAGCCAGAAGGATCCTATATGTCTTCATATATGGTCCCCAGGAGACTTAAAACTGTAAGATTTTATGCTAAACCTATTTCTGTGCTGTGAAACCAGGGACAGCTGTACAAATATTTGCTGTTTTTAATTAAACCTAACATTGCTACTTCCTTGATTTAAGTTAGGGCAAAGGACTGGCAATTTTATGCTTTGATAGATGAGGGAAAACAGTTGTAGATGCTGTGTTTTAGAAAAATGTTATAAAACAAGTAATCTGAGGGGAAAGGCCTGAACGACTATCAGAGTGCAACCCTTGTGCTTTCTCCGTCAAATTTTTTTCCTCTCTTAACCATTCAGCAAAAGTTGCTACTGGAATTCTGGGGTTTTTTTTCCTTGAAAAACGTACATCTAAACTTCTCATTTGGTCCCAAATTAAACATTAGCTCATGTTCTCTTATTTTCACATTCTTTATAAATGTAAAGAAGTTTGCTTTGATCGGGAATCCAGTTCTGCATTCTAATGCTCTACTGAGGCCAGCTGGCTCAGTGCCTTGCAGTGCTTCCACTGGGGAATTACTGCTCTTCACTGCCCCTTATTCCAGGATCTGCTTCAACGTCATAATCTGGCCCATAATTGTAACCCAGGAAGTGGGTTTTAGATAGGAGAAAAGTTGCTCTTTTTTTTTTTTTAAAGGCAAGGCAGATTTTTCAATCTAAACATGAAATAGCTAGTCCAAAAAAGAATCTATATGAATTGAAATTGCGCTAGAACTAATACAGCATTTCTCTCAAACTGCTGAATTTATTTCAGAGAAATCTGCTCAACTTTGAGAGGTTCAAGATTAATCAATAGAGATGTCATTGAGGCAATGTGGGCCAGGGGATGATGCACCGGGCTGGGACTCAGGAGATCTGGCTTTTGTTCTTATTCTGTCAGTCATAATGCAGGACCTTGAACAAAGTCACTTCACCTCTTGGTGGCCCCTTCCAACCTTTGTGTAGTTAGATTTATAGCCCTGACTTGGATTTTGCCAGCTGCTGGAACTCTGGACTGAACCTCTGGAAGGTCATATCCCATGAACTACAACAGTGGCAACTAGAGCCTCTGTCACCACACCATTTCCCAGGGTGCTTGGAGACAGACTGAACTAAACTCCTGCTAACGCTGTGGAGAGGCTTCTGTGATCTAGACAGGCAGTTTGCTAGGCCAGTAATGAGCCAGGGCTGCTCAGCCCCAGTGGGAGGGGAAAGCCTGAGTTTGAGCTAGCATTCTGTTTGTTTTCAGTATTAATCCAATGTTGGTCAGCTGAGTCCAGACACCCCTTATGTACCTATCTCCTGCAGTTCTACAGATCAGTTAATGCCTCACAGAGGGGCTGGGGAGGTTTCTGACGGGGCTTGGGCTGCAGGCTGGCTGTACTAAGTTGGATTAGTTAAATCTAAGGTGGTTGGAGCAAGGTTAAGTTTGGATGAACTTCCCAGTATTTTGTTTGAAATGGAAAAATGAAGTTTTAGAATGAATGGCTGTCTACACTGGCATGAATTTCCGGAAATGCTTAAAACGGAATACTATTCCATTTTCAGTTTTTCCGGAAAAGGAGTGTCTACATTGGCAGGCTGCTTTTCCGGAAAAGCCCTTTTTCCGGAAAAGCGTCTGTGGCCAATGTAGATGCGCTTTTCCGGAAAAGAGCCCCGATTGCCATTTTCGCGATCGGGGCTTTTTTCCGGAAAAGACTACTGGGCTGTTTACACTGGCCCTTTTCCGGAACAGTGTTCCGGAATAAGGACTTATGCCCAAGCGGGAGCAGAATAGTTTTTCCGGAATAGCAGCTGATTTTGTACAGTAGAGCATCGTTGCTTTTCCGGAAATTCAAGGGCCAGTGTAGACAGCTCGCAGCTTATTTGGGAAAAGCGGCTGATTTTCCGGAATAAGTGGCCCAGTGTAGACACAGCCAATATGTTTGGGATTGAAACGGCTATTTGTTTTGAAAGGAACATTAATTTATACTAAATAAATCAAAAATTAAACAAATGAAATCTTGAAATCTTCATAATGAAATATTTAAATAGCTCCAATCTGATTTTTTTTTTTATTCAGATATTTTTGGTTTACAAAACCATTCAAGAGGTCAGGTTTTCATCCTGAATCAGGATGGGAAATTTTTTCAAAACTCTTAAAAATTCTCAAAGGAGGGGAAAAACATTTCCTGACCAACTCTATTTATAACAGAAACTCTGCTACAATCTTATCCTTGGTCTATACTAGGGAGTTATTTTGTAATAACCTCCTTATTGCAAAATAACTACTCCCCAGAGTCTATTAAAGCAATTAGAGCCCCAGGAAGCACTGGGGAGTGAGTCTAAGTCAAGGTAGAGCACAGGGCCGTAACAAGGTCAAGGCGAGAGAGGTACTTGCCTCGGGCGCATAGCTGAGGGGGTGCAAAAAAACCCCAGAAAACTAATTTTAAGACAGCGCTGCTTCCCTCCCCCACCCATTAGCATCGGCTGGCCCGCAGTTTACATGTCAGGCTGCACGTTGCTGCTCTGCAATCCAACAGTCACCAGCCCTGGCGACCACCCGGCACATCATCTGCTTCCGCGCTGTGCGGGTGGCCAGGTACCTGTTCAGCCTCACCAAACGCTGCCTTAAGGTGCCTAGCACAGTTCCCAGGCATGGGGCAGGGGGAGAAGAGGCTCAGATTGCCCTGCACAGGCAGAGGTGCAACGGGTGAGGTGGGGGTGTCAGGCTGGGAGCTAGGACTCCTGGGTCTTGTCTCACCTCTGCCAGAGGAGTGGCTCTAGGTCTTAGGGGTATGTGATTAGAGCTGGGGGTCTGGGAGCTATGATCCCTGGATTCTAGGGGTTGGGGTCCAGGCCCTTAGCCTGTTGGAGTCATGGTTTCCCCACCAAAAACTGGATCCCATGCTGCTGAGCTGCCTGTGCTAAGTGCTTTGAATGTGCTACACACACCAAGGGGACAAATCGGTGACTGTGGCTTCTTGAGAGAGAAGTTTTAGTAAACGAAAATTAAGAACTACTTTCGAGCATCCATGGGTCAGCAGAGATTATCAAATATGTCCATCTTATCAATAGAACATGAGGTAGCAAATAATATTAATTTCAACACAATTATTGATGTTTGCCTCATTAAAAGTGCACAAATACTTAATAGTACCTGACATATTGATATTTTATAATTATATGTATTGATTATGTAGATCTCATAACTATAATAAACGTTATTATTGTTAATGTATTTCCCCTTTTTCTACAAAATAACTACTATGAATATATTCATATAAGCAGGGTCAGGATAAGCTCTACCCTGACATCTGCTGGTGAATTGTGGCGAGTGGTGCAAAAAGACTTCAGGGGCTGATCTCATTTGCATAGGCACATCCACTCTGCCTAGTATGTGCTCACAGCAGCCCAAATGGTCACTTTGGCCACTGTGGGATCCCCAGTCTCTCTGTTATTGAGGGAGGGGGATAAAGTGTTGTTACCCTGATTATGTGAATCAAGGATAATGGACTAGTGGAACTGTTAATGACAGAGGGATTCACAATAAACTAAGTAGCACTCGCTAGACAAGGGGCATGGGTTCTAAATCCAGTCAAGTTGAGAGAGGTTGGGGACAGGTCTTTGTACCTGATGGTGGGGGTCTGTCTAAGGGCCTAAAAAACACTGATAGCACCCCCTCCTCTCTCTACTGTGGAATATCAAAGCTAATTTGGATTCCATTAGGAGTCTAGTATGCGAGCTGCTGAGCTGACTTCACTGTGGGCCAATGGGGTGCTAGCCCTGAGGCTCCTCTATTATGTGCTGAAGAGCTGAAATCACTGGTGCTGTGGGGAGCCTGATGCTATACTGCTGAGCTACTAGCAGAGCAGCTTGCGGGGACAAGCGTAGGCGGCCAGCAGAGTGGTTTGTGGGGACAACTGGCAAGCGCAGGTGGCCAGCAGAGCGGCTGGCGGGGATGACCGGCGGGCAGCCAGTGGAGCAGCTGCAGGAGCAACCAGCTGGCGGCCAGGGGCGTGGGCTGAGACGGCCGGCAGAGCAGGGCAGTGCGTGGGGCGGCTGAGATGGCTCACGGGACAGCAGGTGGAGTATGGCAGAATGACTCGTGTTGATGGTGGCAGCAGACCCCTACGGAGAGGCGGAGCCATCGGTGGACCACGTAAGGTGTATCACCCTCAGCCCCCTCCAGGATGGGATGGTAAAACTTTTGAACCCTGGGATGGCACTGACCCGGGGCAGAGACTTTTGGGGTGTTGGACTTTTGGGGACTTTGGGTGATTCGTGGCTGGGGGGTGGGTCTTTGGTCATGTTTGGTCTATGAATCCAAGTTGTGGTGTTTTCCAAATTTAATGTTGAGGTTGGTTATCTCATGTTATTAAAGATTTGCTGCTATACCGAGACTCTGTGCTTGCGAGAGGGGAAGAATTGTCTCTTTGAGGCGCCCGGGGGTGTATGTAAGACTTCCCAGGTCACTAGGTGGGGGTTCGAGCTAGTGTTGTATTACCTTTTTGGGAGGAGACCCCCTAGATACTGAACCCGGCCCTTGCTGCTATTAACTTGGCCTGGCAGAAGGGCTACATACACATGATGGAGTGCAATTTTTTATTCTTGCCTCACGCAAAATGAGCTAGTTATGGCACTGTTAGTGCAAACACAATAATGGAGCCTGCTTTGGACTAATTTCGAGGCTTCCCCATAGTGGGGACATGCTATTTTGATTTTATTTTGGGAGTTATTTAAAATTGTTATTTTGAAATAATTTCCTTGTTGACATGCCCTTAAGTATAGAGGA